CTAGTAATAACTCTTTCTAAAAATCTCTTCTTTAAAAATATGAAAAGGTCATATAGAGAATGAACATTTAGTACCTTCCTTGAAGCTATTATTTTAGCTGTCATGCCTTTTGAACAGGTAGTTACATGGTTTAGTGGAAAATCCTCAAAAACTGCAGCCAGAGGCCTAGATTTCCCAAACTTTATTACTGAGCTTGGAGGGAATCTGATAGAAACCTTCATGGCATGGGATGAGTAGGTGAGATGAATAGGTGAGCTGTGACGATTTTACTAGTTGCATGAAGAAACCATCAGTAAACAGTATTACAGTGGTTAAGATGCTAAGCTTGCTGCTCAGAAAGGACAACAGTTTGGCGGTTCGAATCCCTAGCACTGCATAACAGAGTGAGCTCCTGTTACTTGTCCCAGCTTCTGCCAATCTAGTAGTTCAAAACATGGTAAAAATGCAAGTAGAAAAATAGGGACCACTTTGGTGGGAAGGTAACAGTGTTCTGTGTCCCTTCTGTGTTTAGTCATGCTGGTCACATGACCATGGAGACATCTTCAGACAGCACTGGCTCTTTGGCTTTGTAAAGGAGACATCCTTTCGAGCCAGAAACAACTGGCACGTATGTGGAGGGAACCTTTACCTTTGCTTACCTATTGGACTCAGTGGGAATGAATCCTCTGTGCATCCTAAAGGGTTTGCTCAGAGATAGCAATCTCTCTCTCTCTCTCTCTCTCTCTCTCTCCAGTGCTGCACAGCTTCCTTAAAGGAGAGTCCCTTTGAAAAGCATGATGCATATTTGAACAATGCAACTCTCTCCCTTACTTGTAAAATGCCCTCAGATTTTGCCTAACTTTGATGTCTTCCTTTCATTCTACTGGCATTCTGATTGTTCTGAAAGACCTGGACATCTTCCATCCTGTCAGACTGCTTCCCTCCTTCTGGCTTTGCAAGCCATGACTGCTAGATTGTGGGCTGACTGAAGAGGCAGACATTGATCTTCGACTTCAAGCTCTTTATTAAACAATAACAACCCAGTGACAGCCTGTATGACAGCTCACCCTTTTATAAGGAGCTGTCAGGCAACTTAGCCAATCAGAATAAGCTATTTTTCCCACTGTAATGGTGGACCTGAGTGAAGCCTTTGTTCCTTGGCTTTACTCCTTTATTTGGATATTCAACAATGACCATCTCCCTGGCAAATCCACTGGGTGAGTTTCTTGTTAGTAAAACTTGCCAGCCTTCTTATTCCTCTCAACAATATATGCCAGTCAATCTGAACCCCTTGGATGCCTGCCTACTCCTTTTACATCAACAGGGACTGGAATGCCAGCTGGGTCTCAGGTTAAATGGAGAAAAGCCTTGGGCTTTCCTCCTGTTACTTTTTATGTGCAGGTATTTTTTCTGTCTCTTGTGCTTTATAGCTTTGACTCTTATTCCCTTTACCTCCTTAGGCTACTTCTTACTACAAACATTTTCTTTTCTTGCTTCTCTTTTTCCTAGCCATTGCCTTCAGGCAAGACATTTTCTACTTCTCTCCTTTCTCTTCCCTGTGTAAGTGCCTGTGTTTCCATCTGACACTAGCAAGTCCAGGTCCTCAGCTTTTTATGTCTCAAAAAACTAAACTAAATTTCACTCTCTCTCTCTCTCTCTCTCTCTCTCTCTCTCTCCCTCTCTCTCTCTCTCTCTCATTGTCTGGGACAATACCCCTCTCTAGAGCTTTCCAGTTCTGATTTCATCTGCTAAGAAGCTCCCTGTTGCTTTCTGTGATCTTAGCTTCTCCAAAGATCCTACTTCCCCTGCTTCTAACTTCCCTCAAGAGTAGATCTCAAGCACTCAAGTTAACTTCCTTTTTTCTCTTCACAAATTTCTGCCAAGTCACACCAGACTAATTTCCCACCTCCATTTGGGGGTTACTGTCTCCCAATAGCCAGATCAGGAAATCGCCTCTGTAGGAAAGTCCAGGTACTTTTATTTAGACCTCCTATAATAACAGAAATAACAATTTGGCTTAGATGTTAAGGCACCTGGCTAGAGACTGGGAGGCCATGAATTCTGGTTCATTCTTAGGCACAAAACCAACTGAGTGACCTTGACCCAGGCATTTTCTCTTAGCCTTAGGAAGGAGGTAACAGAAGAACAGAAGAAAATAATAAAAATAGAATCTTATAAGTCTGATATGCTATCCCTCCTCCTTCTCCTTTTTACAGTTAATGAATTAGGGAAGTATCATTCTGAATGTTATGGTATAATTCTGGGCTTATACTCCTTTTGCCTAGTTAACAGTTCCTGCATACCCTGTTTCTCCAACAATATGGCCTCCCCCAATAGGAAGTCCCGGCATGTTTTATAGGCATGAAATGAAATTAAGCCCCTTCCCCCCAAATTAAGGCCTATATTAAAACATGTGAAATGGGGGGAATGGTGGGGGGGGCTTGCCGTTAGGAAGTACTTTTGTTGCACACCTGGATATGGTGCTGCCTGCGTTGACCCCGATACGAAGTGCCTCACCAACGCCAAGGTCAACATCCAAGCCATCGCCGCCCGCCCGCCTGAAGATGCAAGGGGGGAAATTAAGTCACCCCCCTGAAAAGTCGGCCTAGCCATTTTTTCGGGGCTCAAAAAAAAAATAAGACCCGGCTTTATTATATGAGAAACACGGTATTTCTGTCAAGGTTATCTTCCTTACTTTGTAAGCACACACACATAAACACACACACACACTTTCTCCTTCAGTGAGAGTGTACTTCATTTTTCAAATAACTTGCTATAGTCCAATAAATAAAATATATTTATTATATAATCTACTGTAACTTTTTCTAATTCAGCAGAAAGGCAAAGAGTTTTTGCTAATAATATATGGGGAACTTTTCCTGTAAATTTGTATTTTACATCTTATTCTATTTGTCTTAATTAAGTACATATCAAAAGCATTACATAGCCAGATACTGAGAAACATAGCCACATTTTGAACATGGATGATGTGTAGAAATGGTAATTTAAAATGATTTCACAGAGATCTCATAATTAAGTTCTATACATGAATTTTTTTGAGAGAAATTGATGTTGGGGTCATTATTCGATTGAGTCTGCTTTGATTATCTAAATGTGTGGACGTATACCCATATTTTATGTGCTTCTAACTGCTTCTACAAAAGGATAAATGAGTATGTTAAGGTATTTATTTAATTGTATTAAATATTAATTATTTAAATTTAATTGTTTAATTAATATTAATTATTGAAGGAGAAATTTTTATTAAGTAGATTTCAAACCACTTTGCTGGTAGAAGGAAGAGGAGGAAACAGAACATTTGATGTTCCAGAGGGAGGGAGCCACCACAGGGAAGGCCCTTCTTTTGGGTCCCATCAGGTTTATCTCTCTCGGGGATGGGACCTGCAACATTCCCTGCTTCCCCACTCTGATGGGTTGGGTAGATGTGACCGGGAAGAGACGGTCCCTCAGATAACCTGGTCACAAGCCATGAAGGGCTTTAAAGGTAATCATGATAGATGATCAGAAATAGGCCATAATAGGTCAGACGCTATGGCAAATCCATTTAAGTTATACATTTGTCAGTTTTACACTGTTTGGAGCTGAAAATCATTTGCAAATTACAGATAATCCCGAATATGGCAGCATCAGTAGTTAAGAGTACATCTTGGGGTATGACCATGTAACACCACCAGTATACAAGCTGCACTGGGTACCAGAGTGTTTCTGAGTGCAATTCAAGGAATCAATGGTCAGCATGGCACAGGGCCAGGATATTTTGTAGGACTGTCTGTCTCCAACTATCTTTGCCTATTGTTCAAGGTCAGAGAAAGAGTCTTTGGGATTTAGGAGGCATACCTTCTCTATAGTTATGCCTACCCTATGAAACAACATTCTCCCTGTTCAGGATTGAGATGGTCCCAACAGTCTTTAACAAGGTGTGTTATTTGAGCTCCTTTTGGGATTGGGATTGCCACCAGGGTGGTGTGCTTTGTTTATTGTTCCCTTACTGTAATGTTTTTAATCCTTGTTAACTACCACAGTTGCTTAGTGAGTGGGCCTCCATATAGATCAAGTAAATAAATAAAAGCAAATAAAAAGATGTAGGTTTATTACAGGCTTACCAGGTTTATGTTACTGGCTGATTAATAGCAAAGCATTGTGGACTATGCTATTATTCATTTAAAATGTATACTTCACCAAAAGTAGCAGTTTAAAAGAGAAATTATACACTTGAATGAAAAATTAGGCCAACAATAACTCCCTATCTCCAGATATTAGTATAAGGAATAAAAATGAATGAGTATCATGAAAAAAAAATGTTTGGTTTAAATTGTTGCTTCTCCATGTCATATAAATATGTGAGTACATGCATATTTTTGGATTTATGTACTTATTTCTTTATTTATCTTGTCATGTTTATGTTTATATTAGAGGTGGAGACCCTTTGAGACTTGTATGCAACATAATTTCATTTTAATGTATGCTGATTAGTGTACATTCAAAGTGACAATAAAGCTATTCTATTCTATTCTATTCTATTCTATTCTATTCTATTCTATTCT